AGTAACACGACCTCAGCTCACTGCAACCTCCACCTCCTGGGTTCAAGCGATTCTCCTGCCTCAGCCTCCCAAGTAGCTGGGACTACAGGCGCCCGCCATCACACCGGGGTAATTTTTGTAATTTTAGTAGAGACGGGGGTTTCAACATATTGATCAGGCTGGTCTCGAACTCCTGACCTCAGGTGATCCACTCACCTTGGCCTCCCAAAGTGCTAGGACTACAGGCATGAGCCACTGCGCCCGGCCGTATTTGAATATATTTTCTATGCTTCAATCCACTGCAATTTTATCCTTACTGAAGGTCAAAATGTCCCATCTGTGGCTGGCATGAGCCTCTTCAAGTTGAGCCCTGTGTCCTTTAGACATGACTCTGGTTGTCATAATGCATATAACCACGAATAATTAATTACACATCATGTTTTGATGTTATCTTATTTTATTTTTATTTTTTTTTTTTTTAAGAGATAGAGTATCTCTCTGCCACCCAGTCTATAGTGCAGTGGCATGACCACCATGCACTGCAACCTCAAACTCCTGGGTTCAAGCAATCATCCCACCTCAACCTCCAGAGTAGCCCACAGCCGTGCCCAGCAGATTTTTCTTTTTATTTTTGGTAGAGATGGGGTTGATGTTATTTTAGAATGGAAAGTTCCGTTTGCATAAGAAGGTAGCCAGCGTGGCCAGGTGTGGTGGCTCATGCCTGCAATCTCAACATTTTGGGAGGCTGAGGTGGGCAGATCACTTAAGCCCAGGAGTTTGAGACCAGCCTTGGCAACATACTGAGACACTGTCTCTAAAAAAAAAAATACAAAAATCATCCAGGGATTGTGGCATGGCGTGCACCTGGCTAATTTTTAGTGATCCTCCCAGCTACTCAGGAGGCTGGGGTGGGAGGATCGTTTAAGCCTGGGAGGTCAAGGCTGCAGTGAGCCATGCTTGCGCCACTGCACTCCAGCCTAGGTGGCAGAATGAGACCCTGTCTCAAAAATAAATGAATAAAAACCAAAAATATAAATAAATAAATAAATAAATAAATAAATAAGAAGGCAGCCAATGTTCTTGAGTCCTCCAAAGTCACACTAGGAAAAGAGATCATCCCGATGAAGGAGGGTATCTTCGGGTGGAACGCCCCTTGTGTGCTGGCAACTCAGTGGGGAGGCCCCACAGCCTAACTCACGGGGTGACTTGTTCTCAGTGAGACCTCGTCTGCTCCCATCCCCAGAACTGCTCACACGGAAGTCACCCAGGGCCAAGCCCTCCCGCTCTTCTTTGCCTGTGCCTTCTTGACCTCCAGCAGCAAGTGGCACAGCGGGCCCCTCCCTTCGCCCACGAAGCATCATCTTCTCTTGGCTTCTGGATCCCCCATGTGCTAACTTTCCTCTCCCCTCATCTCTTCCATCTCTGTTCCCTCCCTTGGTTGTTCCACCTGGTCCCTTGGTTTCACACCATCTCTGTGCTGATGACGCCCCTATTTTAAAGCATCACTCTGGTGCATGTGGAGAATGTAGCGTAGAGGGTAAGAACAGAAACTGGGGGAACTTTTTGGAGGCTACTGCAATACTCCAAGCAAAAGAGGATACTGTGTTGGTTTGGACATTTTTATCCACATCTTCTCAGTGAAGTCTTCCTGGCCACCCTATCTAAAATTGCAAAAGCCCCACCTTTCCCTGTCAACTCTCCCTATCCCCCTCGTTTCCTTTTTCTTTCCGATCTGGTTTCATTTTTCTCCCTAACTCTTGTTGCTATCTAACACACTATATATTTTCTCATTGATCTTGCTTAATGTACATCTTCCCGTCTAGAATGAAAGCTCCGTGAGGCAGAGACCTTGTCTCAGTTGTTCATTGCTATGAAATACAGTAGGTGCTCAATGAATATTTGCTAGACGGATGCCCTGAGTTCCCTGCGGAGTTCCAGACTCATACGTCCTGCTTTACGCCTTGACTTGAGTGTCTAAGAGGCCACCTGTGCTTAACATGCAAAATACAACACTAAAGTTTCTCTCCATATCTGTTTCTCCCCATCCTCCATCTCAGTAATGACTTCACCATCCTCCCAGTTTCTCAGACCCAAATCCTAACAGTCATTCTTTTTTAAATTTTTTTTTTTTTTAGAGATGGGGTCTTGCTATATTGCCCAGGTTGTTCTCAAACTCCGAGCCTCAAGCAATCCTCTCACCTCACCCTCCTAAAGTGCTGGGACCAAGAGTTATTTTTTGTACTCTCTATTCTTGTGATACTTTTCAAAGCCTCCAGATCCTGGTCATCAGCAAGTCCCATGGCCTGATCCTCAAGGCATTCCTCACACTGTCTGCTTCTCCCTCCCTTCCCTGATTGAAGCCTAAATAACCATCACCCTTGACGTGGTTTGGCCGTGTCCCCATCCAAATCTCATCTTGAATTGTAGTTCCCATAATCCCCACGTGTCATGGGAGGGACCTGGTGGGAGGTAATTGAATCCTGGGGGAGGTTACCCCCATGCCACTGTTCTCATGATAGTGAGTGAGTTCTCATGAGATCTGATGGTTTTATAAGGGGCTTTTCCCTCTTTGCTCAACACTTCTCCTTCCTGTCATCATGTGAAGAAGGATGTGTTTGTTTCCCCTTCCACCATGATTTTAAGTTTCCTGAGGCCTACACAGCCATGCAGAACTGTGACTCAATTTAACCTCTTTCCTTTATAAATTATGGGTTGTTCTTTATAGCAGCATGAAAATGGACTAATACAGCCCTCCACCTGGGCTCTTCCGTGGCTTTCTATTTGGTTTTTCCTTCCCCTCCACCCCAGCAATATGTTTTCCCGCAATAGCCGGAGGTAAAATGCAAACCAGATCCTGTTGTTCCCCTGCTTAAACCTGCCTTCATTTCCAGCCCTCCCTCCAGCCACACTGGCCGTCCTCCTGCTACTGAGCCAAGCAGAGGCTGCTCCTACCTCAGGGCCTTTGCACCTGCTGTTCTCGCTGCCCAGCATGCTCTTCCTCCACATCCTATCGTGTCTGATGCCTTGGCCTCATTTGGGTCTCAGTTCAATATCACCTCCTCCTTCCTTCCCTAGTGCATTTCCCTAATAACTTATCATTCATGAAAAAGGCCTGCTGATGAGTTTTTCATTTTTTTGGTCTATAAAGCTCAGGCCAAGCATGGTTGCTCATGCCTATAATCACAGCACTTTGGGAGGCCAAGGCAGGCAGATTGCTTGAGCCCAGGAGTTGGAGACCAGCCTGGACAACATGGTGAGACCCTGTCTCTACAAAAAGTACAAAAATGAGCCTGGCATGGTAGTGTATGCCTATAATCCCAGCCACTCAGGAGGCTGAGGCAGAAGGATCGCTTGAGAGTTTGAGGCTGCAGTGAGCCGTGATCGTGCCACTGCACTCCAGACTAGATGGCAGAGAGACCCTGTCTCAAAAAATAATAAAAATAAAAAAGAAAGCTTAGACATCACATCCTCAGCAAGACCATTCCTCACCATGCCCTCTGCACACACATGCAGTGTGCATGGCCCATTTCTGTCTCATATCAGGGTTTATTTTCCTCATGCCACTTGTCAGCGCTTGGTATTTTCTCATAGATGTGCTGGTGTGCCATGTCTTTCCCCTACATAAGCTCCTAGAGAGCAGGGCCATTGACTGTCCTGTCCACTGCTTGACCCTCAGTGTCCATAACAGCACCTGAGACAAAAGAGCTGCCCACTACTTATTTGTGGAATAAAAAAACCACATGACCTCAACTGCAGAAATACTAGAATTTCTTCCTTTCTCCATGTTTACCTGACACATAATATCCTTCAGAAAATGGAGCACATTAGCATTTATAATTCCATACTCCAGTGTTTCCGGCATAATTTCCATAGCTTCCTTCATGTCGGTAGCTTCAGAGATTGCCTCTAAATAAAAACAGGTGTAGAATGTAAGGTCAGTGGCAGAGAGAGCAGCCAACAGTTAACATTTCTAAGAGAACAGGAATCTTCTCCTTCTTCCCAAGTTGCTATAAGGAATGTTCTGGTTACAGATTCAGAATATCCCCTATTTGTATTTAAACAAATCTGAGGGCCCATGAGAAGCTGAAATGGATACCGATGCACTGTAGTTCACGGATTAGTATGAACAGCGCACAAGAGTTGCACATATTCACTGATCTGGTTGGAGTATCTAACACTGGCCAAAACCAGAAATTGTTTGGGTTGTCTAGAAATGTTGGCTGGATTCCTTGCTGCTATGGACTGAATGACCCCAAAATCCACATGATGAAGCTTAAATCCCCAAGGTGAAGGTATTAGAAGGTGGGGCCTTTGGTAAGTGACTAGGTCATGAGGGTGGAGTCTCACGATGGGATTGGTGTCCCTATGGGAAGAGACAGGAGAGCTTGCTTTCTCTCTCTCTCGACTCTCCACCATAGGAGGATAGGAGAAGGCGCCGTCTGTGAACCAGGAAGCGGCGCTCGCCAGACGCCAGATCCGCCAGCACCTTGATTTGGACTTCCCAGCCTCCAGAGCTGTGAGAAATAGATGTTTGTTGGCGAAGCCCCCCAGCCTATGGAAATTTGTTACAATCATCCAAACTGGCTTGGGCACTAGCTTCGCCTGTCTTCACTCCCCAGCAAGTCTTTCTCAATTCATTGCCAAAGCATCTTTTGAGTCATGGGTTGTTTGAAAAGACCTACTTGGTAACATCTACCCTTCCAACAAACAAGGTTTTATTTGATATGTATTTACTCTACCTGAACAAAAATCAATCACCATGGTAAACATTTTAAAGGTTACTTTAAAAGGTAAACATTTTAAAGACTGTTCCCTTGATCTAACTGGGAAACAAAACACACACAACAAATATACCCATTGAAGTCGTTATTTCACAAGTTTCAGTCTTCATACCTTCTCCAAATATGTGCAGACATGCACTATCATTGGTTGAATACATTTCTTTATATCTAACACTTCTTTACTGGAAATTAGCTTTGAGAAGACTACATAAGAACCCAGTATGGAAAAGAAAGAGAGCTTGGCATAAGTGAAAGATAACCACAAAAAGACAAACAGAAAGAGTGAACAAGTGCATGCACAACCACACCCCCTCAACACACATACGCACACACGTGCCAGAAATGTACCTTTGGTATTTCTGAGAAAAAACACCACGTTTTGGTCCAGGAACTCCGTGGGAAGAGGGGCACAGAGCATGTGGAGACGCATTTTTTCCACAATGTGCTTCACAATTCTCTGAAACATGGGGAACAAAAAACATTCATTCTTGTGATACATCCATGCACCTAAAGAACCTAATATCAAGTACACCTAAGCCCTCCTCTCAACACAATGGCTGGTCTCATGTTCTGACAATGCAGCCACAGCCACACAGTGGGTACCAGCTAAGCACAGGAGCTAAACTCACCTAGACTCTGAGCTCTCAGCCTGACTCCTCTATTGACCAACCCGCGCAGCAACACCTAAACAAACCGACCTGGCAAAGGTCCAGATGGAGCTTGAATTTTGTTTTGCAGATGGGACATATTTATGAAGCAATGAAGCATGATTGTGGTAAGCACAGACCAGGTTGAATGCTTACGTCCTAGCCTTAAACTCCAACCTTGGAGTTTTTACAGAACAGGGTTCATTTAGCAGGCCTGTGTTGTCCAAACCCCACAGATGCCAAATGTCTTCAGAACTGGCCTTTGGCTCTTGGGGTGACAACTTCCAAGCTTTTGGGATATCCTGCCTAATATGGGAGTCTTTGTGTACCTACAGCCTTGGGCCATGCCTGAAGGTGTATGCGAACAATATGATTTTGGTGAATGCCTGTTTTTGTTTGCTGGGGCCCCAGTCATACAGCATCAGTTCAACCTCTAGGGTGGTGGTGAGGGCTGGAGATGAAGGGGAGCTGAGTAACTAAGGTCAGCCACGTGGATGCTCCATGACTGTGTGACTGATCCCCAGTAAAAACTCCAGACACCAAGGCTCAGGTAAGCCTCTCTAGTTGGCAATGCTTCATGCATGTTGTCACTCACAGCTACCAGGAGAATTAAGTGCAGTCCATGAAACTCTACCGGGAGGGAACATATGGAAGCTTGTTCCTGTTTTCCTCTGGTCTCTGTCCCTGTCTCTTATACACATCTAGATGTGTATAAGAGACAGAGCTTGCAGTGAGCTGAGATCCGGCCACTGCACTCCAGCCTGGGCGACAGAGCGAGACTCCGTCTCCAAAAAAAGAACAAAAAAAAAAGAAAGGCACTGTGCAAAGTCACTGCGGCTTTGGCATCAACTCAGTGTCAGGGGGCTGAATCCTCTCTGCCGTTAGTTTTCTCATCCATAAAATGGGACAGTAACATCTACCAACCAGATTCTGGAGGACTGAATGACAGCACGCGTAAAGGCATCGGCCCCGTGGTTGGTAGGGGAATAGTCTATAGACAGCAGTAGCAACATTATTAGAGAACTAGCAATAGACTACGGTAAAAAAAAAATCACACTTAGGAGCAGGTGCCATGCCATAAACAGCCTGTAGTTCATTGCTAATTCTCTAACAGCATTAGAGTGGTCGCTAATCTCTACAAAAAATCAAAATGTTATCCAGGCATGGTGGTGCACGCCTGTAGTCCCAGCTACAGGCGGGAAGATCATTTGAGGCTGGGAGTTTGAAACCAGCCTGGGCGATGTAGTGAAACCTCGTCTCTACAAAAAAAAAATTTTTGAGACGGATCTCACTATGTCACCCAGGCTGGAGTGCAGTGGCGTGATCTTGGCTCACTGCAACCTCCGTCTCCCAAGTTCAAGTGATTCTCCTGCCTCAGCCTCCCAAGTAGCTGAGATTATAGGTATGTGCCACCAAGCCTGGCTAATTTTTGTGTTTTTAGTAGAGACGGGTTTCATCATGTTGACCGGGCTACACTCAAATTCCTGACCTCAAGTGATCCTTTGCCTTGGCCTCCCTAAGTCCTGGGATTATAGGCGTGAGCCACCATAACAGGCCAAAAAATTAAAGTTAAAAAAAACACTTAGCCAGGCGTGGTGGCACACATCTGTAGTCCCAGCTACTTGGAAGGCTGAGGCAGGAGGATCGCTTGAGCCCGAGAGTTCAAGGCTACAGGGT